CAATGGTTGGCAGTCTATCCATCCTGCAGCTRGACAGACAATGCTGTCTGTAGGTATTTCTGACAGCACCCCTCAGCCAACCTCATCCCTTATGCTTATCTTTTCATTACCAGGGTACCAAGCTGCTACAGGGTAACAAGAAGCAGCTAAGCAAGGTAAGGATCCACTCCAAATMACCTTTTTTTAAAAAAAATTAAGACTGGTGGGGCCTGATCTAAAAGCCAGCAAGGTGGAGGAACAGAACTGCTGGTCATGGCAGGTTTCATTTGCCTGCATTRGAGGCTGCAAGRGCTCASGTGGGTGAATCCCACTGCACTCCCCTGGTGACTGCCCAGGTAACTCCACTGAGCACCCCCAAACCTTCTCCCTCTTACACCAAAGCCCCCTGCTTACACCAAAGCTTCTCCCAGCAAGTACCAAGTCCCTGACATCACGAGCCAAAGCACCCTCTTACTTCATTCCAAGGCTGGCCAACACAACAGAGGTCACAGGAAAATTTAAAATTTAACGACTCACTGCAGAGGAAAAGCAGAAAAAAAAAAGTGTCGAGTTCATGACTAATCTTTGCAGTTCTTGCCACGGACAGGATTTGTACAGCCATGTTGATTTTTTATAAAAATAGTAAATCGTATTACATCCATGCTGCAAGACCAAAGATTCACAACGATACCTTAATACAGCTTAAATAAAAATAGCACTACCTGAGTCAATCTGAGCATGATAATGCTTTGTAATCCCACACTCTTAGGGGATGAACAGTTGTATAGCAGTGAATCAACACGAGATACTTGCATTAGGAGACTCCTTTTTTATGCTATACAGCAACATCTCTACAAAATGGAGAAGGGGGACACAATGCACAGTGGGGAAGACAGGGCAATTACAGAGCCCCACTATCTTCCAGCTTGGAAAGCTTGGCTAATAGTTTACTTTCTTTTAAAGCAAAACCTGCTTTTAAATTTTCCCCATTACAGTAAAAAATTAAGGAAGAAATTCGAATTTTACAAGTTTTTTAAAAGTGAGCAATCCCAAAGCCTGTGTGCACTCATGCAGAAGATTCATTCATAAAAACAAACACAGACAAACAGCAGTGTTGCACATTCAATCTGAGTTTTCTTAACATCCTTGAATGAGCAAACACTGTATATGGAAAGAAAATGTGCAGTACAACGTAGAAAAGTCTCAACAGAGAAAATATCAGTAAACCTATTTATAATAAGAACATAAAAGACAAAGACTGAAATAGCAGTTTTCAAAGGTGGTTAAGGAAAAAAGTGGAAGCTTTGATTAAGGACACATTRACCATAATAAATTATTATCAATTACTTTGTTACATAAGCTACTCACAAAAGGTATTTCATTTGCTATTGTGCTCCCCATTTGTTCTTTTTTAAGACACATTTTCCAGTTAATTGCACTCCCATCCCCCCTCCTTGCACCCACGGTATAGTTTTATTTATGGCAGATACCTGGCCCTGGCATCTCCCTCCAGACACCAGGGAAAGGTAGCAGGAAAAGTTAACAGAGCTGGAAGGTCTCCCTTTCCCCAAGAGGACTTGAGTTTGAATTCTGGAAAAAGGCAGATTCTCAAGGCTGTAGTGCAGATGATACCCAGGGGAAGAAGAAAACAGCCTCAAATTCCCACTTGTCTCGCCTGCTCCCTTCTCCTCCTCTACCCTGGTGCTCAGCCTGGCACTACTGCTGGTTTTTCTTTCCTTCCTGCAAAGCCTGAATGTCCACAGGAAGGGTGATCCTGTGGGACCCTGGATATGGGGACACAGATGGGCCATAGAGAGGACAGGGAAATGCTGACAGGGGCAGCAGAGATGGAGCCATGCTAGAAGGCACGAGGACTAGAGGATGAGGAGATCCTGGTGAGGGGGGGTGTTCTAGTGATGGAGAAGATCCAGGTGATGGGGAGATGCCCGTGGCTTTGCTCTGTGCACAGGACATTCAGCACATTTCCAACAAATACTCCAACACCGATTGCAAAAACATTCCCTGATTTCCACGTCTTGCCACAGGTGATCCTGAGATATGTTCAGAAGATCCAGTACATCCTGCAACCTCCCATTCAATWCAAGGGGACACTCCTTCCCACAAACACAAAGGCTACAGAGACTTCAACTCAGCTTTCAGTTTAAAAATAGAACACTTCTCAAAGCCAGTTTGGTAGGACAAACCTGCCAGTCTGGCTGCAAAAGGTTTCACTTTCATGTTGCATCAAACACACCAGCTCTGGAGCAGGGAAGCTACAGGCAGTTTCTGAAAYGATGTTCACATCATTTCATGTTCCATCCTCTGCCCTTCCTGGCCAAGGGTCACAGCCACCTATGAGCTCCTTCAGAACAGCACAGAGGTGCAATGCCACAACCATGGCCCCCCTGCATCGCACCCGGGACAGAGACAGCCCTGCCAGCTCCAACAGCCCTGAGCACAACCCAGCTCCAACAGCCCTGAGCACAGCCCAGCTCCAACAGCCCTGACCACAGCCCAGCTCCAACAGCCCTGACCACAGCCCAGCTCCAACAGCCCTGAGCACAGCCCAGCTCCAACAGCCCTGAGCACAGCCCAGCTCCAGCCCCAGCTCCAGTCACCCCAGCAGCACCCTGAAACATGCTGAGGCACAGGGCCCCTGACAGGACTGTCCATTCAGGGGTCCTGCCAGGGTGGCCCTGACACGGGGACATCTCCCAGCGTGTCTCTGGCTCCCTGGTCTTCCCTGCCCAGAGCAGATTATGTGCTTACAGGCAGAAACACAGGTAAGCAGCTTGCTGCATCACAGCCTGTGGTATCCCAGCAGGAGAGCACCCAAATGCCTGCTCCCCSCTTCCCTGGCCAGCACCCTCACTTCCAGATGTGCTCACCTGGGGCACAGTTCAAGCTCCTTTCAGGCACATTCATACACATCTTAGTTTCATATTTTATTCTGAAGCCATCCATGTGCCGCTGGCCACACATTGCATTTTGGAAAATGCCCTTCAGGCTCAGCGCTGCTCTGCCTTCAAATTTGTCTCTTACTACATATCAAACACAAACTGACACAGTCAGGCCACTGCAAAACTCCACACAGGAGCTGTGGTGCACTGGAGATGTACCTTCTACTGGTATGGATTATATAAATTCACAAATTGAAATCAGGGATGCACCTGGACTTGAAAAGGCAAGGAGGAATACAGACCAATAAAGCATCAAAAAAAAAATGATGTAAAAACACCCAGCAACTCTAATCCCTGTTAGCAAAAGTGCATCAGGAGCTCAAGCTCCCCCGAAAGAGCATAGGAGCTTAATGTTTTTGAAAGCACTACCCAAAGGGAYTATCCAGGAGAAATATTAATTATGGCAAACAGTCTGGAGTATCAAYAAGTGTTTTTTATGCATACTCTGTTCAGGTGTTACCTGAAACAAGACAAGAAAATCCAATTTTAAGTATAATTTAAAGAGTCAGTTTAAAATTACCTGGATTTTACATATATGATATTACTATCATCCATCTCATACTCCCCTCTGTGCTCAGAAGAAGAGTTTTGTTTCATTTTTCAACCCCTCAAAAAGGATCCACTGAATATTCAGGTCCCAATACAGACATCAGCAGTACAAACCATGCAGGTTTACAACACAGATCCCATCACAGCTGCAGGGCTGGGGAGGAGGAGGGGTTCATAAGTTACTGCTCACAAGAGCATTTTTGTGAAAGGCACATGGGATTCATGATTTGGCCTTGTAAAACTCAGATTTTAGGAACATAAGCCTCAATATAGGAAATAAGGATAACACAGCTTGCTAAGGGATGTTTTCCTTGATTAATAATGTAGTTGATAATATAGACATTTAATGGACATTAAGTAAGCCTGTTATAAATACAAAATAACCATTTTCTAGCCACAATGAACACATATTTAGGTTGACAGACATGCCAAACTCCATCATCCTCCCCTGCCCTGAGAAATGATCATTGCACATGGCTACATTTCAGCTGTATGGACACTTCAAATCATGCTGGGACCATGTGTATCAAAAGGCATCTGATGTATGGGAAATACACAGATTTGGAAGACAGAGAAGTCCATTAGAGGTTTGGGCCACAGTTCATTAGTCAGTCTGAGCACACAAGAACTCTAATAGCTTGTATCCTGTGCACTAGGGAAATGCAACGAAAGAATGAACTTCCTGAGGAATTAATGGGTAATTACATAATTTGGTTAATCTCATGGGAAAGAAATCTAGAATTGAAAGAGGAAACAGCATATGTATTTCTCTACAAACAACAAAAACAAACAGCAAAGGATGTTGCAGAGCAGAGTTCTAGCTGGCACCGTGTGAGAGATCACCTCCATCAGAGGAAAAGAAATTGCACTGATTTACATCAGTGTAAGAGGTGGCTCTGCACCTGCAATGGCACYTCATTGGCAGCTCTCAGCAATCTCATCCTTCTGCAGCTCTTGACTGATTTAATGTTTCACTCACAAATAAGAACCTAATGAAGTGCACACAAATTAAATACATGGAAGTCTTGGGTGCAGGCAGAACAAAATCAGTCACATGTGGCAGAGATTAGCATGGGTTATGCAGCTTATTCAACTCTCTGGAAGTTGCATTCCTTTAGATTAACACCTTTGGACAGAACATAAAGGAAAAAAAAACTCTAAGGTTGCTTTCTGACACAGAAAACATTGCCCCAATGGAAGGTGCAGGTTTTTAGTAAAAAGTACAACATAATTTGTACAGATTTTCCCTAAAGTCAAGTATTTTTTTTTAATGTAGAGTCAGGAAATTCTTACTAGTGCAAAGGTAAAGCTTAATATCTTGATGCCAAACTCCTGCTCAAAGATTAGCCCTGCCAGCTTTAAAATTAAAGAATGTCATTAACTCAGCAAATGCAAACTTCTGCAATCAATGCAGAACAAAAAACAATGCTTGCGTTTTCTATTTGTCATTTAGTTTTTCTATTACTAAATTAAAGAGTGCCTTGAAAGCATCAGCCTCTGCAAAGTACTCACCACCTATCTTGGAATCTCTTCAGAGAAAGTCCACGGGGGCTCAATTACCTGGAACAGAAGACACAAACCAAACATGCTTTACATTACAGCTTTTTCTCTAAGTGACAATCTTCACAYTCTTGGCCTCTCCTGTAAAATCTACCTTTCCCAGTTGAAAAAGAAAACAGAATTAGTCTAAACATGCAAAAACCCTGCTGTAGTGCTTACCCTACACTGAGAAACAGTTTTGTTGTACATTTACATTCTATTATTTATCCTGAAACAAGAAACATTTCCATGCTGAAAAAAAGCACAGATTTTTCTTGAATTCTGATAGCAAATTCTTCCGATGTTCAATAATCTGGCAAAATCACCCTTCTTACTTCAAATATTTTTTTTGTAAAAACTCCTTACTTCAAATATTTCTTTTGTAAAAACTCATATTTCAAAATAAGCACATRTCAAGTTCAGATTCAGAGGGTTCATTTGGCTCATACAACAGAATATTACTACACCAAGATGTAAAAGCTGAAACAAAAKAAAAAATATGAGACCGACAGTTCCAAGTTTTCTGCAGCCACTAAGCATTGCTCTGAAAGGTTAGAAATCACTTTTCTTTCACTGAACATGTCTCGAGGAAAAAGAGTATCATAATTTGCATCCCATCAGCAGCTGTCAGCTGTGAATGCTGAGGGTTCACCAGCCCTTACAGAGTCACAGACCAGAGCACCAGGAGCGAGTTCACCTCCTCCTRTGATTCCTAATCTCTCAAATCTGTGGATTGGAAAATTGAAAGCAAATTCCCTCTGATTCCCACTCCTTCAYAGAGCTGACCATGATTTTCCTCCACCACCAAGGCCAAGCTCAGCTGGGAAAAATTCATCTCYTCCAACCCAACATGTCAACTTCTTTCCTGCCAGATCCTCATCTGATCCAGTAACYCTGTAATTCTGCTAACAGAATCCCACTGTGTTTAGCTCCCAGGTGCCTCAAGCCTGCACCTAACACACATATTTGGTCTGCCCAAAGCCAGACCCCAACCATGGACATCCCATGAACATTACCAAAGCCTCCCAACAGTCTCCTCCAACGCTTCACCATCCCTACAAGCAGGAGTTCCTTCCTTTCATGATACCACTCACATTCATTTCCACCAGCCCTAACCCCAAAGACATGGGGTTCATCTTTCTCCCCTTACAGCACTCTGCTGCTGTTTGCTGGCATTGCAAACTCGTGTCAATCCTTCACCTTTTCTCTAGACCAAACACCTTTATTCCTTCCCATCTTTCCTCCTGAGCCCTGTTATTCAGATGCTCTCTGGCCTTTTAAATTTTCTTTACATCTTCCCTCAGGTGCAGCGCTCCATGCAGGCTTTAGTACTCCAGCAATGCCAAAGCACCAGGAGATCCCAACACTGGACACAAAATCCATCCTCCTGTTCATGGAAGCATTTGTCTGCTGCTGTTGGGGCAGCATGATGCTGGAAAAGCAGTGCATGACCCACCCYAACYCCACAACARCTTTCAGAGGAGGCCATCCATCCAYCCCTGAGTATTCTGYACAGCCAMCCCATTCACCAGAGATAACTGCAAGCCCACTCTAAAACCTTCTGGTGAAATCATGGACCCTCCAAAGTCATCTTCTGGTTCTGTCCAAAGCTACTGGAAAAGCAAATAACTTTCTCCCCGCAAGTACTTGTAACATCCCCGAGTTTGGTGCTACTTGTTGAGTCTGAATCAGCACTTTATCAAATGCTTCGATGACAATGATCCATGCCACAGGGTCCACTTGAGGAAATCCCCACCCAACACTGCTCCTGAGCTTGATTACCCATGGAAGCTAATTACTGATCATGGTCAGCCCACCTTCCTTGAACCATCCATAAGCTTCACCAAAATTTCTTTTCCTAAGTTTTTTTTTTTTTTTTTCTATTAGTATCAAAACAGTGCAAAAACCCTAACTAGGATTGGAGTAAATCATATCATCTGCTCTTTTTCTATCTACAGGACCTGTTATCCTGCTCCAGAGGGTAATTAGGATGTCTGACATTATTTGTTCCAAACGAACCCATGCTGTTCTTCACAAGCATCCAGAAGATGACTAGGTGGGAAACAATTTATTAACTTCCAGAAAAACACTCTAATARAAGTCAGAGTGACCGTACTGCAATTCCATCTCCTCCTTTTAAAAAAATTAGCACTATATTTTTTGCTTTTTGATTGTTATGGTAACCTCACAAATTCTCCACAGGTAAACATCAAGAAGAAATTGAAAAGAAGTCAGGTCAAGCAGCTGAAATGCAGATCCCTCCAGAAATCACAAGAACAAAATAAGTGTTACAGAAGTGAGGTCAGGATATCCTGCCCTGACATGGGGTCACCAGTCATCCCCTGAAGGTGCCCTCTCCCCTCACCACTGGTGACTGATGCTGGTTGAACAGCTTTTACAGAAGACCAACTTTCCCACACACATCTTCCCATCATCTGGGGGGCGGTTTCAAACCAACTTCCCTAAGGTCTAAAGAACCTGGAAGAAAAACTCAAGAGAAAGATAAAACCCTATAAGTGTGTGCCCCCTTAATGACTATGTTCTTATTTTATCCTGGTAGCTCCCCTCATCAATTCAATTTTAACCTACATCAGCCTGCTTSTCCCAGGAAGCAAATTCCAAAACACCAATTTTTCCGTTTTTATTGAGATCCCTGGGCAGGCACTCAGAAATGTTGCAACTTGGCAGCGACATAAGTTTTTAAACAAATCATTTAAGATTCAACATCTTTTTATGACAAAAACTTGGTATCCTCATCTTAGAGAGTAACGGATGTTATCTCTCCAAACTGCAAAACAAATGAACCCCAACGGAAAGAGAAAGTAAGGASTGAACTTGGTCAATGGCAAAATAGGAAACACAACCCACAAACTTTTCATTTCTCTTCTGTKCTGCTGCAACAAAATGTTGTGCCTTCCCCATCCAACAAACTAAATAGTGCAATATTATTCAGCCATATTTATGCTCAAAGTAAATGGAATTTCACAGTCCAGATGCTAGATTTTGGAATCCCAAAAGACTTTCAGGGATGTCTGAAGTAATACAAAATCTTTGCTCCAACCCTCAGGAGCAGATATTAACTGGACAGCACACATTCATTTCTGTGTTTACAGTCYATGCAGTATTCAAATTCACTGACAATTAAAAGTATCCTATAAATAAATTAGCAGAAGAAACTCATGGCAGAAATTCAATTACAAAGCAGAATTAAAGGAAGAGACATCAGAAACTTTTGGAGGCTGGGCAGGAAGAGGTGAGTGTATCAGTCTACTATTTCCAGAGCTGCTAGCAAAAAGCTTAAGAAGAAGACTGCTCCAAATAATCTTGAGAAAAGATCCTCCTTACAAAAACAGCTTCATTGAGAGACCAGAGAAACCAAGGTGGCAAATTATTTTTCAGACCACATTTGTCARATCTGACAGGGGTAAAAATACCTCTGAATGGTCACACGTCACACACCCCAGCCTGCCCCACAGGCACTGCAGCTCTGCCACGTCCTGCAGAATCCTCAGACAGGCCTTGGCTTGCACCAAAGACACTGCAGAAACCTTACTTTTCTTTTGTCTTGTTTTTAAAAGTGATTTTAACCCCATTCCTTTTCATTGAGTCATAGACATTACATTTTAAGCAGATTTCTTTCTACCTGATGGAGTAGCCTCAAGTGTTGTGGGCACTTTTCTTCCTTTAATGGCCACTATTTTACCCTGYCCTGTTCCTCCATTTGCTCCCCTTTGGCTGACACTATCCTTCATCAATCTCGATGCCAATTACCAGTAAGGCGCTCCCACACCTCTGAGGTTCAGCTTTCATAACTGCATTAAGACAAATCAATACTGTTATTAACATTGCCATGTTTGTGGATGGCGTGACCTGCCTGCAAACGCCACATGCAGCAGGGAAGGTACTCCCAGGACTACATTATGTCTCTGTGCTCCCTTATCTGCAATTTCTTTTTCAACAACACTCTGCTCTTTTATAAATATGGGGTGGGGCTTTTACCTCTTTTTCTTGTAAATGCAAACTGATGAAGGCTTTGCCATCCCCTTTATGTGTGGGTAGCAATACTCCATGGACAGCCAAGTGTTAATTGTYCTGTCACTTGCTCTGCAGCTGGGCGCAATGATGACTGTAGGACCTTTACAACTGAACTGTTCTATTCTACTCTAACTTTCCTCCAGTGCTCCCAGCCAGCTCAGCTCACTCATTGCCCAACATCACAACTTAGCTTTGGCTGTTCACTTCTACACATGCTTGTGGATGCATCCAGACAGCACATGCAGCCATGCCAGCACTTGTGCTGGCTGACMATTGCTCTGGAGTGTCCACTCAGCCTCTCCTCTGATGCACAGTCTCTTCCCGCTCACCTCTTGCCCCTTTCTCCTCCTCATCTTTCACAGTAGGCCCATAACCCACCATGCCAACTCCATAATTCAACCCCCAATGCACATTAACTCCTGGAGGGCTCTGGGCCCCTGTGTTTAGAAGTGTTGTCAGTTCACTCTGCCCATCAAAGGATGGTCACTCTCCAAGCGCATTGCCAACCTGAGTCAAGAGAGCCCACACACCATCACAGCCCAGCACAGGCTCCTGGCTAGGTTTTCCATTTTCCAGCCATTCCTGACCCCCAGGGTGCTACAGCTAGAGAATTAGACCCTGGCTAATGTAAAAGTTAATTCAAGTGTTCTCCTCAACAGTCCACTGTGGCTGCAGTGCAGAAACACCTCAGACTGTGCATCACACCTGAGAGCCTGGTGCTGCTGAGAGAGATTGATAAAATCTCTCATTATAAAATGCTGCCCCTCCTCTTTGTGCCTCAGATTCCTCCAGGGGCACCTCTCCCATTACCATTTCACCTAAGCAGTGTGCTAGCAGCACTCCCACTAACTACAATAATAGTAATAATGCCAGAGTGTGAAGGAAACACTGAGCACTGACAGTGCCAGGAAACGGCAACAGGGAGGAGCTCAAAACATTCCTGGGAGGCCATGTRTGCTTATTCAAAACACCTTCTACACCTATTG